TGGGGTCAGGGGTCTGGGGTAAGAGGACGCCGGGGTGAGGGCCTGTATATGGAGAGAGAGAGAGCAGCAGCGCGCGAGGGGAGGTGTGCAGTGGCACTGTGCTTTGTTAGGGTGGAAGGAGGGTTTGCTGTGAGGGACACCCCTCACTGTGGTCTGTGTGAGAGGGGCTGAGCCGAGAGGGAGGAGCAGGGTTGTTCATGATGAAAGGCTTCTATGAAGGTGGGTATGTGAGCAGTGCAGAAGGGAGGGATGTCTGAAATTAACAGGGAGAGTATTTTGGGGTGATGTCTGTGAGGAATGGAATTAACATTTTGAGGTGCAAGTCAGAGGAATAATAATTAACGAAAAAGATGCTTGGGGTGGGAGGGAGAAAATGAAGGGGATGAAAGTGGGAAGGTTTTATGGGGTGAAAATGGTAATGTGGATGGTGTCAAGGGTTAAACAGAAAAATTGGAAGATGGGGATGAGTATCTGTTCCTGGCTGAGTCCACTAGTGCTGGAAGCTGCTCTGCTTGCATGTGCTCATTGCTTGAGTGACTGGCAGGGTCAGAGAAGAACTATTTTGCATCTTTTGTTTACTTTCTAACAATGAAAAACTCTTCTGCAATGGTAGCTACATCAAAGTTTTCTTGTACATCAAAGCTTTGCTAGGTAGGAACTGATATAGCAAAGTATTATTTACTTGGAATTTGCTCGGTAGTGATTAACATTGTTTCTGAACAAGTACAAGCACAGATTCTCCCCTAATGATTGGTGCTTTTGACTGCTGGAGCTCAGTCACCGTGATAAACTCCCCTGTTGTAGATCTTAAGCTTTAAGTATCTACTGTTTTATTTGGAATTAAAAAAAATGGTTTGAAGACATTTCCTAACAGTGCTTTGAAGAGGCACTGACAGTATTTGGCCCCAAGCCTGCGTGAGAAATGCGTGCCCAACAGCAGATCCCTCCTGATTTAATTGTGACTGTGCTTAAAGCTGTGTCTGAATTCAGAGTAAGAGAAGCTGTAACTGCTGCATATCACCACGAGTTAGAATTTAAATCTCCCATTCATCATCAGCATTGTTGTTCGCTATCCTCATTGCCCCTTTGTGTTGCCCAAAATTTGCTGGAAGCATTCTCTGTTGCAGTCAGCAGCTTTACCTGATTTGCAGCTCTTGCCACCTAATGTTTTTCTTTTGAGTTTTCCTTTGTTGTTGTTGCGTAAAAAATGTTGTTGCTGTTACGAAACAGACTTTTGTGCTTGGTACAGCTCAATTTTCACTTTGGGATTTACTTCATTAGGCGTATCATGTGTTACTTAGAAGCACATACTGAACTTCATGCTTTCACTGTGATACGCAAACTCCCTACCTAGGTGATTTCAAGTGGCAGTTGTATTTTATTTGTGAAGAAAACCATATGACAGTATATACAAATCTATGTGAATTTACGTTTGTTGCCCAACATACTTACTGTAAGGCTGTTTCTTCATGAGTCTCCGCTATTAACCATCACTTGTGTAAGTTAGTAGCCAGTTCCTGTTTCAGCCTGAAGTACGTGCCCATAGACTTGTGTAACAGTGACGTAGGTTGGGGCTTATTTTCTTCTTCTTTCTTTGTTTTTCCCATTTTATAAGGCAGTAAGCATTGTGATTCTTGACTTAATTTCCCTTCTCCCTAGGGAGATGTAATAAAAATGAACTATAAATATTATTTTTTTTCTTAATGGATGTCATTTTATAGTTTAACAGTAATCTACCCATAAATAGGGAAAAAGGAAAAAAAAAAATTGGGACATCTTTATATCTTTACTCACCCTTCAATCTTGCTGTTGAGGGCTAGTGATAACGAGGAAGTATGGAATATTAATTTGTGCTAATTATTGTTCATGCATGGGGCTTTTTGGGGGTGTCTGTGGGTTTTGGGGGTTGGTGGGTTTCTTGTTTGTTTGTTAAACAGTTTCAATTTTGCTTTGTAGAACCAAGTAAGTTTTCACAAACGCTGAACGGAATTCCTTCTTCAAACACAGTCAGCAGTGGAATGGACCCCTTCCATGCTTGTAGTATTCTTCAACAGCTTAAAACCATGTATGATGAAGGACAACTGACAGATATCGTAGTGGAAGTGGATCATGGGAAAACATTCTCCTGTCACAGGAATGTTCTTGCTGCAATCAGTCCTTATTTCAGGTACAGTAGTCCATTGTTCTAGTGGTCATCAAAAGCAGAATTATTTATTTTTGTTAAAATTAAGAAAAAACCACACCTATACTAATATTCCATGTAATTATCAATAAGATAGTGCACCTAGGAATAAAGATTATTCTCCTAACGTCAGTGAATTATCTGTCTCTGTTGATCGAAGTAGATTTTCATTGCAGAAAATGTAACATTAAAAACCAAAGCAAACCAAAAAACTCCCTCCAATGTTGAAGGTATCTTGGATACAGTAAGAGCATAGTTAAACTACACGTGTCTTTTTAAAGTTACCTATTCTAGTGCTAGAATATGTGTATGAAATAACATGTTGCAAGTTGAGTGTGGAGACTTGGATCCTCCAGACCTTTGCTTGTAAACAGTGAATTTCATTGTGGGGTTAGTGAGATAATTAAGCAAGAGTTTCCAGTTTGCCACTGTTGTTTCAGTAAGTCTAGAACTGGTCTTAAACTTCGTTACCCAGACAGGACAGTGGAACATCAGTGATAAATGTATTTGTGCTGATATAAGGGCAAATGCCCTGGGATGAGCTGTACAATATAATCTTGTTTCTTATAGCTGTAGTGAGAAGGTACTTACAAATAAACTGCTAAATGTTTGTCTTTTGTAGATCTATGTTCACTAGCGGCCTTACAGAGAGTACCCAGAAAGAAGTTCGTATAGTTGGTGTTGAAGCAGAGTCAATGCATCTAGTGTTGAACTATGCATATACCTCCAGAGTCATGCTGACAGAGGCCAACGTCCAAGCTCTGTTCACTGCAGCTAGTATCTTCCAGATCCCTTCCATACAAGACCAGTGTGCTAAATATATGATCAGTCACTTGGACCCACAGAACTCCATTGGGGTGTTTATCTTTGCTGATCACTATGGTCATCAGGAACTCAAAGACAGGTCGCAAGACTACATTCGTAAAAAGTTTCTGAGTGTCACCAAAGAGCAAGAATTTCTTCAGTTGAGAAAAGACCAGCTGATAAGTATCCTGGACAGTGATGATTTGAACGTAGACAAAGAAGAACATGTTTATGACAGCATTATAAGGTGGTTTGAGCATGAACAAAATAAGAGAGAAGTGCACCTTCCAGAAATCTTTGCCAAATGCATCCGTATGCCTCTGTTGGAAGAGACATTTTTAGAGAAAATCCCTCCCATGTTTGCACAGGCTATGGCCAAAAGCTGTGTACAAAAGGGACAACATCGTGCCAATGGCTATACGCAACGGCTTGGAATGACCGCTTCTGAAATGATCATATGCTTTGATGCTGCCCACAAACACTCAGGAAAGAAGCAAACAGTGCCTTGTTTAGATTCGGTCACAGGGAGAGTGTTTAAACTATGCAAGCCACCCAATGACTTGAGGGAGGTTGGAATTCTTGTATCTCCTGATAATGATATTTATATTGCGGGTGGTTACAGACCAAGCAGCAGCGAGGTCTCCATTGACCACAGAGCAGAGAGTGATTTTTGGATGTACGATCACTCTGGCAATAGGTGGATTCCGAAAGCTCCTTTGTTGCGAGCCAGGATAGGCTGCAAATTGGTTCATTGCTGTGGTAAACTGTATGCAATAGGTGGTCGCGTTTATGAAGGAGATGGGCGAAACTCACTCAAGTCTGTGGAGTGTTATGACAGCCGAGAGAACTGTTGGACAGCTGTCTGTCCGATGCCGGTAGCAATGGAGTTTCATAGTGCTGTGGAATATAAGGATAACATCTATGTTTTACAGGGTAAGGTGGTTTGACTGACTATGTGGTGGTTTGGTGGAAGTGGGGGTGGTTCAATCAACTGTCTGCGTGCTCTTGAGCACCTCAGAATACCCGTTTTCTGGATGTTTAAAGAGTGCCCTGGGACAATGGGGTGGGAAGAAAGCAAGGGAGAGCAGTGGGCAAGGAAGAGTGAGGTTGTGCTTGAGTGCCCTGGGAATGTGTCACGACACTGTGGTACTGAGTTAGTGCACAAGTGGCAGTTTTGGTGGTGGTCTAAGTCAACGGTGTAGTATTAAATTTTACTGTGAAAAGTCTTTATTAAATCTTCTTTATCTGGGTGAAATGCATTAATGTTGGAGAAAAGATAATGAAAAATCACTTTGCATTTTATTTAGCTAAACCTGTAAAAATTCCTGGTGTCTGTCCTCTTGGTGACTGGTGTAAGTCCGTTAACCACTGTAGGCCTTTGTTTCCAGCCCTGCTTTTTGAAGCCATCCTGGTAACTGGGAAAGATGATTTATCTCTTTGTAGTTAACTCTGTTTCTTTGGTCAGTAATTATAGTACTGCCTTAACATCCTTTCTTCTGGTGAACGATCAGACTTATTGGTGTATTGGATACTGAGTAAAAAGGATCATTGTGGGAATGGATCAAATTTATTAATACCTTTATTTTATTTACGGAGATCCTATACAAAATATGTATTGGTATGTATGCATGAGTGATATAGCAGTCCACACTTAAAAGTGCTGAGACTGATCTGTGAGACTGTAGTAAGAGTCCCAAGAAGTGGAAAGAAAGGAGAAGGGGGTGTCTTGCTTATGTTTCCCAACCACCCCTGTGTAAGCACCTGCAGAAGTTGGGGTCTTAGGTCCACATCAGCTCCCTCTTTGGGTCACTGTCCGTACACAGCAGGACCACAGGAAGGAAACAGGGTAGAGGATACTGTAAGAAGTCAACCTGTTTCCTTGACTTTGCATTCTCGCTGCTTGCTAAGGTTGGTGGGCTTCCCCGTGATTTGCAGAGAGTTTTCTTCATTGTTTCTGTGTCAGATTTGACTTTTGTTGGTTGTGGCTTTAAATAATACTGGTACACTAGCAAGCGCTCTCAATCTCTCTTCTGTTGGGTCAGACACCTGCTTTAGATGGTTAAAAAAGAACGCTGAAGGATATCTAACTTGTTAGAGGTTTTGTTTGTCCTTTAAATGCTTATTGGAATGCCTAAAAGGTGGATATTACTGTAACGTATAGAATAAGAGTGCATCTTTGTTTATAAATTCTGAGCTGCACTAATTCTGTGCTTCGGTGGTTTAAACGACAAGTCAGCGCTCCCATAAATAAGCTACGTCACTATGCTAGCCAGAAAATTATGAAGTTTTCTGTGTTATGGAGAATAGGCAGCTTTTCTTTCTGAGTGTGACAGCTGAGACCTTGATTGAGTCGCACTGAAGTAGTATAAAGAAGTTAACGTTCAGTAATTTTTCTAGAGAGAGCTCAGAAGTTTGAAGTAGTCGGTAAGGATTGATGAGTGTTAAAATGCCAGCGGAGCGCAAGCGTCGGTCATGGGAGATGATGCTGTGGAACTAGAATGAATGATTAAAAAATGTATTATCTGTAAGACTTAAGTGATTAACTTACGTTTCACCCATTTTACTGTAGTATTTTTGTTTTCTTCGACTTGAGGTGCTTGGTTACACAACAGCTTTGTTAAAATAGCCATGTGAAATTATATATATTATAACCCCCCATGGCAGGGGGTTTGTAACTAGAGGAGCTTTAAGGTCCCTTTCCAACCCAAACCATACTATGATCCTATGATAGATGATTTGAATTATGCTAATATTTGGCAAATATCAGGCCCTTCTTCTCCTGGGCTTTACAAAAGACAAGGTGGTCTTTCTCAGTCTTCTTATCAAGTTTGCAGAGCATGAGCTTTCAGTCACCTGAACTGCCCCTGTCTACAGCCTGTAGATGCTACTCTGCGCAGTCAACGAAAGAGATGTTTAATAAGCCGGTCGTAAAAGTACCGCTGGATCAGTAGCTTCCTGCGAGTATTCACCTGGCATCCTTTCAAGCAAATAGCCTAAACATGTAACCCAGCCACCTGATACAAGTATCTGTGTAGTACCAGACACAATTATTTGCTCAGACCTAACAACTTTCAAGCTCTGAATTCTGAGACTCCAGGGTCTGCAGATGACGTGTTGTGAGATGTTAAAGAACAACACAAATACTGCAGGCATTTCAAGCCTGGGATTTTGAAAGGTTTTGGCCCAGGTTATTAAGCATGGTTTAGAAGTAGTAAAGGTTACCTAGGAAATGCGTAAAACACTGTATTTCTGGTATGCTTCAAATTCCCTCTCTTGAGCTGCAGTAGGAACGCAAAGAGGGTTTTACTCACGATACTGATATTGTTCTAATGCGCTTGGAAGAAAGCAGGTGATGGTGCTGGGTTTGTTGTTATGGGATCCAGGCTTTTTAAAACTGATAGATGGTTTCTGTCAGTGGACAAACGTACTTGAAAGCTTAGTAGCCGCAGAATTGCTGTTCTGGAAATGAAGCATAAGTTATGTTTTATTTTTCCTCTCTCTTTTCAGGGGAATTTTTTCTCTGCTATGATCCTCAGAAGGATTACTGGGGGTTTTTGACCCCAATGACTGTGCCTAGAATCCAAGGCTTGGCAACTGTATACAATGACTCCATCTACTACATAGCTGGAACCTGTGGAAACCATCAACGTATGTTTACCGTAGAGGCCTATGATATTGAACAAAATAAGTGGACTCGGAAAAAAGACTTTCCGTGTGACCAGTCCATTAACCCATACATAAAACTCGTACTCCTCAAAAATAAACTCCATCTCTTTGTCAGAGCTACTCAAGTCACTGTTGAAGAACATGTTTTCAGAACCAGCAGGAAGAATTCGCTCTACCAGTACGATGAGGTTACTGACCAATGGCAGAAAGTGTACGAGACTCCAGACAGGCTCTGGGATTTGGGCCGGCATTTTGAATGTGTTGTTGCTAAATTGTATCCGCAGTGTCTTCAGAAAGTTATTTAATTTTCTTTTTGGTTTTCAGTAACAGGCCTTAGTGATTTCAGTGGTAATCTGATGCTAGAGAAAACATGTCTTAAAAGAAAACACAGAAATTGTCAGTATTTATTGTAAGCTGAAACAGGCAGTTTTGTGTACATGGGGACGGGTGCTCTTTAAAGGTTGCAGTCTGGGGAGGGAGTTACTGGTTCAGTTTCATATTTACTGATATTTTCCTGGGAAATGAGAAGGAGGTTACAAAGTGCAATTATCAGCATTTATTTTTTTTTTTCTGGTAAACACTTTATCATGTCATAGTAGAGGGGTGTTTTTGTGGTAAGAGCAAATTAAGTGGAAGAGCCAGGATAACTATGCACTACAGTGAACGAAAATCTAGCATTAATAGCTGAGGATGTCCAAGATGTCTCGAAGTGACTTTTCTTCTCTATTTTTTTTTTTAATACGGGTAAAATTTGAGGCAATATCACTAATTTTTTTTAATTTTAGCTTGAAAGTACATAGAGGAAGGGTAGATGCTGATTCATAATGATCCTTTTTTTTTCTTTTGTACTGTTTTTGAAGCCTGCTAAGATGTTTGTGATGATGTTTGTTTGTGCACTACGTTTGGGAGAAAAACTCAAGTCAGAATTGGAACGTGGAGTACCTTCGCCCTGGATGGAGGCCTGCTCAGATTACTGTACCACTTCCTCTCTGGAGTTTTGTTTAAATTGAGTTTAATGATAGGGGGGAGGAAAATCCCAACACCTATTTTCTGCCACTTAGATGTAATGCTGTAAAAACCTTTTTTTTTTTTTTCCCCACACACTGCTTAAAACCTTTTTTTTTTTTCATCCCATAAAGGGCTTTATCCCAGAAGTTGATGGTGCTAGTACATTTTTAATACTTGTTTGTCTGAAATGGGCTAGCCTTATGCTACTGTTCAAGACAGCCTGTTAGTTTTCGTGGAGTGTGTGTCTGTCTTCAGGCCCTGTCCTGTCATCATGTTGTCTTTTTTACATAACATTTTTACTGCAGTGGTATTCTTGCACAGAATGGTGACAGGATATGGCCTTAATAATGCTGATTTTTTGTTTAGTTTTGTGTGGAGTGTTCGTTCTGTCTCCACCAAAGTACAGTGCTGTGTGCAGCGTTGGCACGTGCTCCAGTAATTTGGAAAAGTGTGGCTTAACTTTACAAGTTAGTTTTCTTTTCTCCTGCAATCAAGCCCTCGAATACTTTCTATTTCATGTTGATCTATAATGTGAAAATTTGCACTACTGAGCTTTCTCTACTCTCTGGTGTATTAAAACAAAGTTGATGACAAGTTTCCATCGCTTAGATGCAAATACAGAATAGGGATCCAATCTACTGCAACACTTTTCTCTATGTATTTAACATTCAGCTTACCTTTTAAGAAGTAACTAAGTTCAAAGTTCAGCCTCTACTTCAGTAGTGAAAACTGGATTTGAAAGGGAAAAGATGAATCCTAAAACTTGTACCAGCTGTACTTAACCAGGTTTAACTTGTTACAGCTCTAAGTTTTGCAGGGCTGTGAGTACGTTATCTTACTCTTCCCTGTTTTCTCAAAATTGACCTGAGTAAACCAGTTAACTTGAAATGGTCGTGGCCATCGCTGGCTCTAAGTGCTCACCATTATCTGGCTTAACAGCTGATATTTCAGTAAGCCAAATATTTAGCTCATTGTTTATCCCCCTGGCATGGCTGAGGATTTGGATAATGTTTGTTTACTATGTGGTCTCGCTGTTCCCAAATGGAATCTTTCTAATACATGAAAATACTCACTGGTTCTACTTCTTAATTCTTGCACAACATGTTTTAAAAGGCAAAACCAAACTAAAAACTGTGAAATGAAAAAAGAAAAAGCCTCTTTGCATTACATACCTCATCTTCCAGAGATTCACCAAACCACTTCTTTCCAGTGCGAGCACCTGAGTTGGTTTTTTCTGACGTGAAGTTGATGATTCCTGTTAAGACTGTTTTCCAACAGTGTTGAGGTGTGTTTTGTTTCTTTGTTTAGTTGTCTTCTGGATACTGTTTTAGGTGTATCCATAGCCAAGAATAAGAGTTTTCTTAAAGTACAACTGACTTCACGTTCTGAATTATCCTTAGCCCTTGGCTAGCTCTCTTTGCGCTGTTGTAGGCCTCTAGCTGCAAGCTTTCTGAAGCACCCTCCCTGACAGTGTTGCATTTGTGTGTAAGACCCTTTTTTGGCAAAGTGTTATGTAACCTTTTTCTTGTTTTGTTTTTTGGTTTTGTTTTTTTTTAAGCTTGGTTGAATATTTACAAGACTTCTTGCTGCTTTTTGACAATCTTCTCTATTTATTTAGTAGAACAAATTTCAATATATTACTTGAAACTATGAAATAGAATTGAGTTAGCAATTGACTGGTCATGTGATGTATAGAAGTACAATATGCTGTGGTTAATTCTGCAGTAGGTTTGTTAATTTTGTTTATCTGCACTAAAGTACGAAGATCTCCATTCTGTTTAACCATTCAAACTGAGGGTGTGATCCAAGTCTGTAATGTGTTTAAAAGCTAAATCCTGGAACTTGCTGTGGGAGTAAAATATACTAAATCTTTTGCATGAGGAGTTTGTTGAGACAGTAATGTAGCTGTGACATTTTGCCAATTCTTAAATGCTTCTACATTTTGCTGAAAGTCAGATTCCTGGTCAAGTTTTGCATTAGAGTCAGGCTTAGGTAAACTTGCACAGCACAAAAAAACCCCATAATTGCACCAAAGGTACTGATCCTCTTTAAACAGTAATCTGTACATTTTCCCCACGTGGTATTTTTTCTGCATTCGTTTATTTCCCTTTATTAAATGAATTTCTAGCGTTGTAAGGACTTATGTGAGTGTAAATCTCTTTTCCAAAATTATTAGTTACTTTAGAAGGAAACATTTTGTAATTTCCACCTGATTCCATCAGTCAAATTTAGAAACAACTAAAAGTGGTTTTGGTGCAGCGAACACGCAGCGTGTGTGTTCTGCGAGGAATCGAAGAGCTCCCTGTTTGTCAGGCTGTTTAGAAATGGCATCCAACACTCAGTGCTCAGGTATGTTAGTAAGAAGTACTGTAGTCCTATGAGGGCAAACGTGTGGATTTTTAAACATTTTGCCATAATTGCACAATTTTGCATTTTTACTTAATGTCATGTTATGTTTCTTAAAATAAACCTATTGTTGAAATACAGAGGAGCTCTTCTGGTTTCGTGAGGAGTCTCTTGCGTGCGTTTTACTGGGGTGAACTGAAAATGAACCGAATGCTAAAATGTGTTGATGCTGGTTCAGTTCTGTTTCTGCACTTGTGTGTCTCGGCTGTCACGTGTTTGTTTTAAGGCAGCACTGTGCCGTTGCTTGAGGTGAAGGGGTTTTGTTCTGCTTTTTTTTGTCTCACTCCTTGTGTCTCTTCAAGCCAGCTTCTCACTTGCTTTCGCACAGCTGCCATCGTCTTGCTCCTTCCCTTCTTCCCCGCCTTCGGCTG